TTTACTTAGACTTCAGGAAGGCCTTCGATACAGTATCCCACACCATACTGGTGAACAAGTTAAGACGCTGTGACTTGGATGACTACACAGTCCAGGGGGTGGCGAACTGGTTAGAGGATCGTACCCACAGAGTCATAGTGGATGAGTCGGTATTGACCTGGAAGGGTGTGGGCAGTGGGGTCCCGCAGGGCTCGGTCCTTGGACCGATACTCTTCAATGTCTTCATCAGCGACTTGGACGAGGGAGTGAACTGTACTCTGTCCAAGTTTGCGGATGACACAAAACTGTGGGGAGAGGTGGACACACCGGAAGGCAGGGAACAACTACAAGCAGACCTGGACAGGTTGGACATATGGGCGGAAAACAACAGAATGCATTTCAACAAGGAGAAATGCGAAGTGCTGCACCTAGGGAGGAAAAATGTCCAGCATACCTAGGAAATGACTGCCTAGGAAATGACCTGCTTGGAGGCACGGAAATGGAAAGGGATCTTGGAGTCCTAGTGGACTCCAAGATGAACATGAGTTGTCAGTGTGACAAAGTTATCAGAAAAGCTAATGGCACTTTATCGTACATCAGCAGATGCATGACGAATAGGTCCAAGGAGGTGATACTTCCCCTCTATCGGGCGCTGGTCAGACCGCAGTTGGAATACTGCGTGCAATTTTGGGCGCCGCACTTCAAGAGGGATGTGGATAATCTGGAAAGTTAACTTCCCCCCAGGTACAGAACAATTTTTATCTTTCATTAGTTTTGGCAATATTCACTTCAATGTATTCATACATTTATAATTCAGAATGTCCAAGTTATCTTATCTTTCTCGAAACTATAATAAAAGTGGCAGCTCAAAATATTTTTCTTAAAGCAATGTACATTTTAGAGATTTTGCAGCAAATTGTTCTTTACAAGGAATCTGTCTTATCTATTCTTTTTGCACTTAGTTTAATATTGAATCTGTGACTAGCACAAGATTACAGTGATTTTTTTTTGTATATGGGGAGATTCAATTGGAAAATACTGTATTTGAAAGGGTTTTTTTTGCAATTTGTACATGTTACTATTTGTATATTGTAATAAATGGACAACAATAACTCATTCTCACCACCCAAGGAATAAATCAAGTGAGAATATACTTCAAAGTATACGTAAGAAAGTATTGTATAAGTTACAAGGGTATTTGACACCTGTTGTTAAACTGGCAGGATACTTCAATATGGTGACAATGACTACAAATTAAATGCTAGTAACAGCAAGTCTCAAGCAAATCTGAGCTTGAAGCATCAACTCTTTTATAAAAAAAGGAAAAAGTGATGCTCACCAGTTGTAAATCCAAATAAATATCTCCAGTAAATAAAAGATGCCGGTGATCTGAAGGTTGTAGCTTATCATTATCTAATACAGAAAATTAACACAGTTCTCATTTTTAGATAGACTGATTTTTGCACAAGTGTAGCCCTGCAGCAGGTGTAGGTTATTGGCAGGGGCTATCCAAATAGGAAAAAGCAGAAAGTCTCTGTAAAGGATTCCTTATTTTCTGCCCACTTTGACCAACAGGGCTAGAGTAGCAGCACTCCCCTCAAAAAATATTTCAACTTTACTACCTCACCTGAAGAGGGTGAGGGCCCAGATTTGTAGCACAATAGCCAGAAAGGACAAGTTAGAGGAAGAAGCAAAAGACTAGGAGACTTCAGTAAAGTAATAAAATAAATATTCAACATATCTCCTTGAGGGCCTAAAAAGAGCTAGAGTTCAAGTACAGTTCAGAACTAGATGTTCTCATGTTGTTGCAAACTATCCACACCTGCTAAATCTACAAAAGTGAGTTGGAAGTTCGTACAGAGGATTTCTTGTGATCCTTCCTCTACTTCCTCTTCCAATACTTGCTTAAAATACCAAGAGAAGTGTTTGAGTGTTCAGATTTCATAGTTTGGTTCATGGCCCATCATTAATCCAAACAGTTAAGAAGCACATATGTAAGAGTTGGTTTAAACCGGGTCCTTAAAGTGAGTGAAAGTTTGGGCCACAAAAGTTTACCATCCCCCAACAAATCCATTGAAAGAACCTAAGCTGTTTCTCTTCTCCTCTGTTTTCAAGAGTTTAACAATCAGAACATGCTTTGATATTTTAGGTTTAGATTAAATGTTTAGTATTTATATTAATAAATAAATTGTTCTGATATTAAGCAAATGAATGGCAAGTAGTTTACCTGTTTATGTTACAGATATAAAATATAGCTAACACAGAAATCCCCACAATTTCTCCCCAAACCTTTCTTTACTCTTAATGATAGATACTTATCTATTAGTTCATCGCTATGTGTAGCAATCTTACATGTGTAATTAATGGAATGTCCACCTGCATATATGTTGCTTTATTGAAGCAGTTGCTTCTAAATAAACACTATAAAAGCCATGGAAAACAACACTGCTTTTCTTCTCAAATTTAAGAAAAAATATGTGCAGTACAAGCAAATTATAACAAACTCTATAGGACCATGGGGTTTACTATAATAGGGTTACTCAATTTGCTCCATGATAATAATGAAAAAAAAATCACTTTCTGTCGTTGGGATTCATAAAGGGGGAGCTTATTTTAAAGATGCTGCACAGTTTTAGCATCTTTGGGAAAAAATTTGGAGCTGGTGTCACAAGTAAAACTTCATCAATTTCATCAGCTCTAAATTTAACTTGTTTATCAAAAATGGCTAAAATGTGGGGAATGCCAAACTTCACCCCAACCTTGAGGCAAATAAGACTGCAGATCTCCACCTCTGTATCAGCTTGTGCACTGAGTCACAGGGTAATATTATCCAGAACTCTCTCACCTGGTCCCAAAATCCTATGTAGATATCCTGAGAGGTAAACATGGAAAAAGAAATGAAAAAACTATCCCAACAAGGAAATGTTATTTGATGTCTGGTTTATACAAAGTATGACAGAGTTGACCAAACTTAACAAGAGTAATATATATCTAAAAATGTCTGTATTTTAAGTATAGGGTACTGCATAACAGTGCTCTCTAACTGCCTTTTGAATTAGTTTTCATGCATACTAAAACTGTTACATTGGAAAATATATTCTTACTTGTAGAGCAAATCCACAGCCATCTGGTACTAGTCCTGTGCCAAAGCCCTTATAGTTGCTGTTGATGAAGGAACAGGCACTGCCTTGAGCATCCACTACTGTGAAGTAAACTGTGTCACTTCCTGCTGGTAAGGAATTTCCAGGTTTATAATCTTTATTCGCTCTAAAATGTGAAAAACAAAATATTAATGTGCACTAAAATCCTTATTTTATACTTCAATTAAAATCATGATATGTGGGCTAAAATCATGACGTTTGCTCAGTAGCCCTACTGAAGTCAAGGGCAATATTTGCATGAATAATATAAGCGATTTCCCCCTAAATCTTTGTTTCAGCCTATAAAGATAGAGGACAGGATTCTAGCATCTATTGCATAAGTATAACTTGAGAGTAACTTCAAAGAAAAAAAAGGAATTACTCTGAATTTACAATGAAGAACACAACCTGCCCCAAAAGAAGCATCACAAAGTTCCCCCTGTAATTTTATAAGATCCAACTGACATCGTACACAAGATAAAGCACAGGATGAATCCAAAGTCCTTTGGGATCAGATAATGTCTAGATCAATAAAGACTTTCTATTGTACCCTAATGTTTAGTTAAGTCCAGATGTAAGCCTTCCAACAAATTTATATACACACTCTTATCTAAAGTACATAAAGCAGGCTAACACGCATTGGTACTGTAAAACCCCCACAAACATTCAGAAATGCACTTCTATAGTTACTTTGCTCTTGGGTTTTGAGATTTGTCATCACTTTCTCTTGTGCAGTTCAGGTAAGTCATTATTGTATGAAATATATTTTAAATGCCCTTTCAAACAATTCTGTAGGTCCCTTCTTAAGGCTTACTATTGAGTTTGACCAAAATGTCAACCTCTCTGGTTCCCAATTATTGTATTCCTGCCTTCCTATTACTAACAGAACTAACAGCAACACAGAATAAAGTTTGTCATGCCCATTCACTGATCAGGTGGATGAGACATCAACAGTGTGCTTGGGGAAGTGGATTTATTTCAAGTTTTTTTATCTGCATTGGATTTATCAGTGACCTTTTTATGCACATTAGCAAATAGAAGATTAAAGGAAAGCAGATTGCCTGTCACTGAATTCCCTGTCAGAGGCACTATTGAAGGCCTTGGAGTTTACCCTGCAGAGAATTAGCAGTTCAACAATACTGCAATTCTTATTTTGGCTTGCTGGCAGTAGGTATCGACCTATACTTTATATGGATAAACATTCAAGACATCTGCAGTTAAGAAAAGTTGCACAAATTATTTTTCACATATTATGCATTTAACTCTGGCTCACTGGATGGCTGAGATCAAGAGAGGCAGGGCCAAGAGGCAATTTTATTTCTGTTTCTTTAACATAGAAGGTCTGAGAGAACATTTCAAGTGTTAGCCCTGAGTATCAACTATCACTTCTGGGTGACTTAAACAGTTTAAGGGATTCCTTCTTAGGCCTATCAATCTTATTGTAATATATGGGTAGTTTTCTTTACTTTTATATGCTATATACCGTATATTTTAAACAAGCACAGCCATTCCTTGATTATAATGAGTCTCTACCCGTTCCTATTTTGAATCGTATTTGATATTTTTCTTATCATGTTATTTTATCTTTTAGATATATATCTATATATAAAGTATGATAGTATACTTTGGTGATTTACACTGAGTAATTTAATACACAGGGAGATTTGTTTTAAAATAAACAGCAATTCATAAAGTACATTTAGTTAAATGACCAAATATACAGAAATAAATGAAGAACTCCAGCAACTTGTATAAATAGAAAAACACTTACATTATTAAAAGCAAGCAACAAGGCAGTGCATACCTTTGTAAATCAATTAACTCAGAGCGTCCTTTAGCATATGTTTTGGAGAGAGATTCTTTTGTTGGCACTGGAACTTTTTGAGGATCAGCACAGAACCAGAAAGCATCAGAGAAGCTGAGTTTCAAAGCTTCAATCAGTACATGTAAATAGTCAGCAGTGTTATGGCCCATTTCTGAAAATGGCAACAACAAAATCACATTAGATGTAGCTTTAATAATATTTAAATGTTCAATGTTCTTTTGTTCCGTACAAACATTGTCTTACCAGTGTTAACAGGAATTAATTTGGTCAATCCTTTTTATGAACCCAAAGGAAATAATCATGCTGTTACTTTAAATTTATTGCTCCTCAAATTTTAGCTGTAGTTTTTCATTGTATTAAATCTTCTACAGCACTTGACACAGAATGAACAAACACCATTTCTGAACTGATATCAAGCCATTCATAAAATCAGTTTCTGAAGCTATAGTTGGGCTTCTTTTGTAACTTATGACACTATTTGCTAAACTTACAAATTTCTTTCAGAATTTCCAAAAGAATAAATCCAAGCAGTAATGTATTACATAGCAGAAAACCTTCCTAATTTAGCTTCTACTGTACTTTGTTTTACTGTACTGTTTAACTTAATGGAGTTAACTTATTATCTGTAAAAGTTATTTAACACATTATTTTAATGGCCATTTTGTTCTCATTTCTGCTTGTACTTTGATTTGATGAACATGCTCTTGAGACCTGAAAGACAACCTTAACCTTTTTGAAAATTTCTCTTTTATGTCTCCTTAAATTACTCTCCAAAGAAAAAATTCATTGCAATGAAACTCATACCTTTAATGTTAAAATTTTCTAAAATATTCAGGGCCATCAGAACTGTGATCCCTTGTCCATTTGGAGGTATTTCCCAAACATTCACACCCTGGAACAAGATAAGTTATTTTCCCATTTTTTAAATTTATACACTTTATGTGTTTTCTGCATTTTATAAACTATTGTGCTGTATACCACATTAATAGTGCAAGAGAAACTGGGATTTCTTCAAAGAAACAGGAAATCAGGTAACATTAAAATGATACTTTTCTCTCTCTCAACTTTGTACATTAATAAACAACTGCCTATGCTATATCCTAGACCTACCATGAGTTGTAATGCTTTCAGCTACAACTATTGCCATAAAGCTGAAATACCAGTCCTTCATGAGGGTAAATGTTACTTGAGAATTAGAGACGTCTGCTTTGCCAAGCCCTTGTGCACACCAAAACCACATCCAGAGCCAAGTTGTGGACTCATTTTACTCAGCGCACACAAAATATAAGAGACCGCATCTTCCACTGGAAGCTGAGGGGATGCTTAGCATCTCTTTACGATGTTACTGTAAGTGGGCACCTTACATGTTTGGACCCAAAGGCAGCTCCAGCAAAGGTGTGCTGGAAGCATCAGAAGATAAGGGGAGCCCTTCTTCTACAGTTCCCATAAGAAAAGGCAGGAGTAATGCCTGAAGTACAGAATTAAGGCCCAGATGCACAAAAGGACCTAGGTGCCTGAATTCCAATCATGTTCTGCTTTAAGCACTTAAGCCCAAGAACGTGATCTATACGGGATTGTTTTGTATGGATTTGCTGTCACCTGAGCTGAGCTTCTCCATGCCCAGCTCATGGCTAAGCTCAAGCAAAATCCTAAAACCAAACTAGATGTTCCTCTGTTCAGAACCCCCAAGAGATCCAAGCCAGTCGGCAGGCTCACAACCTGCCTAAGACCAAACGAATCTAGCTTTGGACAAAACAGCAGCCCATGCAGCTGCTTTCATTAAACAAAAAACAGTCACTGAGGGACCCTGTTATCTCAGTGGTTAGAACAGTTGCCCAGAATATGGCTTGGATTTTATGCTTACCTCAGCCTGAACGATTCAAACCCACATCATCCGCTTTGTTCGTGTGCCCCCTAAGCAGACTATAGGCTACCCAGGAATTCTCAGCATTGCTGGACTACTTCACAGAGAAGAATTCAGGCTTAATCAGGCCAGAGAGAGGGCTGAAGAAGACACCCAACCCTGTAAACCCAGTGTTCACTTACATTTCAGTTCCTGCTCCAGGGACTATTTATGTATTTTGCATTCTATGGTTTTTACTTTGGGCAATATTCTCTCTGACGTCAATCAGAGGTTCCCCTGAGAAATCTCTGCAAGTCTGGGCCCTGACATATTCAGCTATTTCAAAATAAAATATGTAAACTGTGCCCGATAGATTCCTTTGTTTCTAAATTTAGGAACATTACTCAGAGTGGGTGTGTTACTCCATAAATAATGAGATTACCATCAAGTCCTGGATTAAAGGGAGCATATTCTTTAATGAGGCAAACACCACTGTGTTTTAGCATGCCTTAGTTAATAACTGGGCATGCGAGCACAGTTTTCCTACGTATGCTCCATGTATATGCAAGACATACTTTTTCACATTGTAGGAATGAAAATATCACCCTCTCACATGCTCTGAAGCTCAATTATCCACCCAAGCAAATAATTCTCAGTATCAGAAAAAACTAAGAAAACTTTAACAGGTACAAACGCTGAAGTAAAAATGCATAAGTATTTCCTATATAATAACAATTCTCATGTAGCTTAATTTACCAAAATGTCTTCCTTTGTGGGAGAAAGGGCTCAGGGGGACCCAGTGACTGTGTGTGGTGTGAGGCAGAGGAATATTGTACCATTTTACACAAAACCCTTTAAGGGGAATAGAAGGCCCATGAAATGACAACGTTGAATTTTGCTTGTACTTTCTTTTCTTGCCACAGGCATAGAGGCTTGTCACACGGCAGGAGGTGGGGGAGAGCCACTGGCCAGGGTTGTGCTCTGAGCAGCTCTGCCACTGGCTGTCCCGCTGCCTCCCACCACCAGGTTGAGCTCCATGGGGCTGGTGGAGCCACTCGATGTGCAGCCCAGTGGCAGGAGGTGGGGGAGAGCCAGGGGTGCACTCAGACTGGCTCTGTCAGTCCCACAGAGCTCAGCCCAGCAGCAGGAGGCAGGGGAGAGCCAGGGCAGTGCTTTGTCTTCTGCCACTAGGCTGAGCTCCATGGGGCTGGTGGAGCCGGTTGAAGTGCAGCCTGGTGGCAGGAGGTGGGGAGAGCCAGGGCTGTGCTCTGGCCGGCTCCGCCATCCCCACGGAGCTCAACCTGCCCTCCCAGCGCTGCTGGACTCCTCCAGTCATCCCGAGCACAGAGCTGGGGGCCCGCACCCTCGGGAGGAATGGGCCACAGCCACCTGGGTGTGCGAGCTCCCAGATCTGTCCATGGGATGACAGGAGGCTGCTGCTGCCAGCAAGTGACACGAGTTTTGCTTGTCAGTACTTTGAGGTGCAGTTTCCCAGAAACCCTTGCACTTATCTCCTTGAAACCTGGCAGGCTTCATGCCCTCAAAAGGAACTACCATCCCTGCAATTTTCATACGAATCAGACACAAAATGACAATGTTATAGGCATTTTCATGATTCCCCATTATAGCCTACGGGCAAAATGTTGAAAACAGCATCAAAACAATGAAACAGTTTCAGGGAAACGAAATGGAGCAGTGCTTCAAAATGAAATGAAATATCGAAATGAAACACTGTTCCATCGAAATGACAAAACGGAAGTTGAAATGAAATGGTACTGTTCCACACAGCCCTACTGTCTTGCTTCTTCTTTGCTTCAAGAAGTTTGAACCAAACCTACATATCAGGAAAAAAGAACCAGTTTAAACTTTGGTACTCAAAATCTAGATCTGAATCTACTTTTTGTGATTTATCTTAAAATATGTAAGCAATTAACTAATCATTAACAAAGAAGGACTGTTTATGTTAGACTTGAATAATCATATAATCATACATGCATAATTGCACATGAAGAGCTAACCTGACCATATAGCTGAAATGCACGTGTACACACATAATTAGTAATGCACACAGGTCAAGGGTAGGCAATTATTCAGGCTGGAGGGCCACTTAACAAGTTTTGGTGAGGTGTCGAGGGCCGCAAGGATAGTCCTAACCCCTGGTCACAATCTTGGGGCAAGAAGTCCTGCACCCTAATCCCTGACCTTTGCCACGGGAAGTATTTTCCTTTGCCAAGGAAATACTCCTTTTGGGAGGAGGCAGGGGTTGCTTGTATATTGGCAGGGGTAGGTGGGTGTATGGAGGAGTAGTTGGGGTATAGGAGTATGTGGGCATGGTGGGGTTATGTGGCGGGGGTGGAGGGGTGTGTGTGGGTGTATGTGTGGAATGTGTGTGGGTGTACATGTGGGATATCATAGAATCATAGAAGTAGGGTCGGAAGGGACCTTGTAGATCTTCAAGTCCGACCCCCTGCCTGGGCAGGAGGAGAACTGGGCTCAAATGACCCCAGCCAGGTAGGCATCAAGCCTCTTCTTAAAGACCCCCAGGGTCGGAGCCAGCACCACTTCCCTTGGAAGTTGGTTCCAGATCCTAGCCGCCCTAACTGTGAAGTAGTTCTTACGGATGTCTAATCTAAACCCACTCTCCAACAACTTGTGGCCGTTATTCCTTGTTATCCCGGGGGGCGCTAGGGGAAACAAGGTCTCCCCCAAACCCTTCTGGTCTCCCCTAGTGAGTTTATAGACGGTCACAAGGTCCCCCCTCAGCCCTCTCTTGTGAAGGCTGAACAGGTTCAGGTCCCGTAGCCTCTCACTGTAGGGTCTGCCCTGCTGTCCCCGGATCACGCGGGTGGCCCTCCTCTGGACCCTCTCAATGTTGTCCACATCCCTCTTGAAGTGAGGTGCGCAGAACTGGACACAGTACTCCAGCTGTGGCCTGACCAGTGTCGCGTAGAGGGGGAGGATCACCTCCTTGGCCCTACTTGAGATGCACCTGTGGATGCA